AACTCCTGACCTCAGGTGATCCGCCCGTCTCAGCCTCCCAAAGTGCTAGGATTACAGGCATGAGCCACCGCGCTCAGCCCTGTCAGCCCTTTTTTATAGGCTCTAGAGGCAGCTTGGAGACAGAAGCAACCTCTAGCATCAGTGGGGGCTCCTCCACTTCAAGGGCTTGGGGGTAAGAATGTGTATGGATCTGTCTGCTTGGTAACAAGATCCATAGTGCATGGGTAATTAAATACTCTCAAAGGAAGCCTACAATAAATGGGTATTCTTTTGTTGGTGGGACTGAGAATGTGAGACCTTATAAAACATAGAATTCTGCCTGTGGGGGCTCCATATCCCTCAAAGGCCTCTACTGTCTCTCACCTGTTGGTAGAGCCTTCATTTTTGTCTAGAAGGTTCTATAGTGATTGACCAATCCCCCGGGTTATATAGCACTGCCTTAGGCTCCCCAGGGACTAGAATTAGTTCTGACACCCTTTTTCAGGACTTCCTAACTGAATGGCATGCTCATTCTTTTTCTTATAATTCTTACTTTTCCTCTGACTGTCTCCTAAGTACCTACTTCTGCATGTCTCCCTTTCGTTGGTTCCTTTCTTTGACCTCCTGTTCATTCATCGCTTATGAGAAATAGAATCTAGGGCTAAGATGCTGATCTGAGCGACCGTGAATGTAGGCCAAATTCCCCTGAAATCTTTTCTTCGTTCATTAGACAAGATCAACCAGCCCCCAACACTGGAACCCAGAACGGTCTTTAGCAAGGCAAAGAGTCCTCCCAGGCTGCCACCATGAAAGCTCAGGGATGAAGACTTCTATTTGTTGAGCATTTACTATGTACCAGGTCTTTACATATATACATACATACGTACATACATACATACTGTGTGCCTGTATCTTCATCTTTACAACCACCCTGTGGGAGAGCTCGTTACCTTCACTTCATAGGCAAAAAGTGAAACTCAGAGCAGTTGAGCAGCTTGCCTAAGTCAACATCAAGCAGTCCATCGTGTTTTGTTCCAAATCCAGGCCTGATTCTGAAGATGTGCTGCTGCTCACTGTGCTCTCCTGCCTCTCTAAGCTGGGGAGCAGCTGAGGTGGTGGATGGGCTGTGCTTCCGTGGGAACCACATGTAATGCTCAATAGAAGATGACTCTTCTTATTAGAGGCACACATTTTGCGAGACAGGAAGTCGTAAAAAAGATTGAGCCAGGAGTTACAGCATGAACACTAGATTGGTGGGGACTGCTCTTCCGGACAGGAAGCTCAGTCCCTTCAGATCGATTTTCAGAATCTGTCTAAATGAATACACCTATGGAAACCCTCTTTGACTTTGGCAATTTGGTTAAAAACTCAGTCAGGCTGGCTGATTTTTGAGCCTGGTTGAAAAAGCCAGGGAATTCTTTCCAGAACCCCCACATGTCAATATTGTCAATTCCAGTGGTTTCCACTGGGATATCCCTGGCTACACCAGGTCTGAGTAAGGGGTCCTTACAGTGGTGGTAGTGGCAGTGGCAGATGTGCTCACTGCAGCTGCAGAGTAAATGTGACATGTAGGTCCCCATGGAGGTGACGATGCAAGTTACTACCTGCCCTCCTCCTCTGGTATTTCTCACCATTCACCAGGTCCTTTCTGCCATGCTGGGAGCCAGATAGAGGACGGTGGGAGTTAGAGAGAGAGAGAGGAAGAAAGACCAAGGGAGAGAGAAAGAGAGACACTTTTGAAGCCTTTGGTAAAAGGAAGGAGCTACAGTGATCGCTCTGTTGTAGGAGCAATTGCCCATTTTTCCATTAATTCCTCCACTAAATCACATTTCCTGAGCACTGGCTGAATGCTAGACGCTGTCCTGGGCAGTGAGGATACAGCAGACAAACTTACATGTCAGTCAGAGAAGAAAGAAATAAATCAAGACGCAAGTAAATATATGAAGTAGGTCCAATGGAGTTAGGAGCTTTGGAGCAATTTAAGGCAGGGAATGGAGGTGCAGGCAAGTGGGTGTATGTGATCATTTCTCAGTGAAACGGAAAGCAAACCATCAGCTGTAAGTGAGGGGTTAGGGTGACCGACCATCCCAGGTTGCCCAGGACTGTCCAGTTTTAGCACTGAAAATCCTGTTTCCTAGGAAAACAGTTTCTGGCAAATGAGGACAGTTGGTCACCCTAATGGTGTGGGAGAAAGCCCAGCCAGTCTAGCTTCAAAGCATTTTTCACAATGACCTGCAGAACGCGG